TTGGGTTAGATTCAAGCAGTATGGATTCGAATACAAATAAAACCAGCTATGGGCATAGCTGTTGACCAAATATAATATTATACTTTTGATCACCTTTGTTCTAGTGTCTTGAGTTTTGTTTTTATTTTCTCTCATGGTAGCCAAAATTTTATTATTTATTTTTAGACTAATGAGTTTGGTTGATTCTAATGAACTTGATATGTAATAAAGATGCATAATTTAGAAGAAGATTAGAAGGAGGAAAAATGGAAGAAGAAAGGGTCTCATGGAGGAAGGGTCAACATTGAAAATATTGGAATAAAGATGCATAATTTAGAAATAGCTAATCCTCATTAGCTATTTTGAAATCCCACACTTGGGTTTTCAAAATTCCTAATGCCTACAATCACTATCATTCCAAATATAAGTGTCTTAACTGACAATCAATCACGCACGAGTTAACCAACTGTCTAGACCGAGCAAAATTACTCATATTAGTATCAATCGAACTAAAATATAATGTAATAAAAGGAAAATCATAACTTCATAAGTAATTTGACTGAGATTACTTGTATTTTCGGCAAGAACGGGTCAAGAATCGGGCGGGTCAGGGCAGATCGGGTCGATGAGAGTACACATGTCCGCCCCGCCCCAAAACAGGGCAAACAGGTTGGGTAAAACAGGTCAGGTCGAGCCATCGACCACGTCCGTGGAGACAAGCTGTGGGCCACCTCCTACACAGAACGAAATCGTTAAGAATGCCAAGACGGTGAATTTGAATGGGTGGGCTACAACATGCTCCACCGGGTCTCAGTTGAACTCTTAGTTGGTCCCTCCGACTTGTAGAGAAGTACCCTTCCCGTGCTTCTTCTTTGAATTTTTTTTTTTTTGCCTTTTTTATTAATCAGTATGCTGAATATATTACCGTGAAACTGACAAGGGTTAGGTGGTGATTTGTTTACGGAGTACTTATCTACTTTTGTAGGGACTCACAAACCGGATATGTGTATTTCGTGGAACCTCGGATCAGTGGCGACACAGCTCGATGGCATTGATTTCTCAGGTGGCATATGGGTATTTCGGAGGAAGCCAGATCTCCTCGTCACATCTTTGTGCGAGTGGAACCAAATGATCCATATGGGGTGTGCTCGAAGATCTAATCCTCGAACGAAGGTCTTAATATCTACTGTCTATGGAAGCCCAAACGCAGCTGATAAACGAGGCCAATGGCAGGAAATTCTCAGGTTGGCCGATTCTGTGACCCACCCATGGTGCTTAATAGGAGACTTCAACGCAATCCAAAGGTGGGTGGAGCAATTTATAACGAAGCCAGGTCTCGGCCATTCCGAGACTGTGTTGATATTGCTCGAGTATTGGAAATTAAGTTCTCGGGCCCCCAATTCATGTGGCAACGTGGCACACTGTATCAAAGGCTTGATCGAGCTCTTTGCAATTACCACTGGCTCCTTACCTTCTCCCATTCTGAAGTGAAGCATTTGGAGCGTATTGGGTCGGACCACCGACCCCTGGTGCTTCAAGATGCGCCTTGGCGGAGACTGACGGGGAAACGTTCTTTCCGTTTCATTGCTGCTTCGTTACGGCATGAAGACGTCCCCCCGAATTTCTCGATGAGTCGTTGAGTTTGAGCAGGGAGCTACCACAACAACTATCGGATCAAAGAAGTTTTCATTCATATCCATCACAAGAAATGAAAAGTGGCAGCTCAGCTACGTTGAGTGGAGACAAGGAATGAAATTGGCACTTCCGCTGCTGATCATCAAGAGGAGCACAGGCTGTGTATGGAATTGAAAGACATCCTCTGGCAAGAACATTTGTTGTGGGTGCAGAATTCTCCATTTGCTTCGGTATTCGGTGCTGACCGCAACACAAGTTACTTTCACCTTACCAAGCTTAAAGGCAGGCGCTTCAACTGTGTGGTGCATCACGGACAACATTATCATTCTTCAGGCGGTGGTGCATTCGATGGGGCTCAAGAACCGAAGTAGAGGTCAAATGGTGATCAAGGTGGATCTGGCGAAAGCCTATGATAGGTTAAGCTGGCCTTTCCTTCTCGGGAAACACTGACTCTGCTATGATTCCCCGAAGAGCTTATTGTCGTCATTTTGCAGTGCGTGACAACGGCCACAATGAGGGTTCTTTGGAATGGGAATGAGACTGAATCCTTCTTACCCTCCAGAGGCCTTCGTCAGGGGTGCCGCTTTCCCGTATCTGTTCACACTATGCATAGAGCGCCTCAATCATGTTATTGAGAAAGCCGTCCTTGAGGGGCAGTGGAAGCCAATCAAGACCTCTCCAGGTGGCTCGCTACTCTCTCCAGGTGGCTCGCTACTCTCTCACCTTTTTTCGTTGACAATTTGATACTTTTTGCATAAGCATCGGTCATGCAGGGCGAAGTTATTCTAGACTGTCTGGACAGATTCTGTCTTTGATAAAACCCAGCTAGGTGTTGAGTTCACGAATCGAGCTTGAAAACACCAAAGCTAGCAACTTGTCGATGAAACCAAGCTGCCAATGAGCGTTTAAACGAAAACGGATGGAACTCCTGTGCAATCCTACACCTGGAGGAAGGCTCAAAGGAGTATACGTCGAATCTCGCCCACGATCAAGGTGGATGTTCATGGATACAAGAGCAAAGTCGAACTTGGTTTTCTCGGCCAAGCTCTCAACCAAAAAACTATAGCTACGAGACTTAGTTTTTAGGGTTTTCTTTTATTATTCAACTCTGCCCCTTTACAATACGCTTGTAAGCCTTAAATAGAGATTACAAGTAGTCTGGAAAGTGAAAGAAACCGAAACCAAGAAGGTAAGCCAAAACATTCCCAATTCTAATACAAAACAAAACTTAAAATGCAAGTAACTAGCTGATGTTGATACCAACTTTGAGACCCTCGTTCTCCATCCTCCCAACTCCAATTGGATCACCCAATACCTTGTTTCTGTACTAGAAAATTCGAACTTTCATGTGGACTAAACATTGAAGCCAGATTCCCAGCCGTTTGTCGTGCCCTGAGCTTCAAAGTGGCCTTCTCGAAACTGTCCCATGCCTTAGGCAAAAACTGGCAGTTTGCCTGTGTTGGGATAGACTTTTGATGAGCTCGAAAACCACTCTTCCCAGCATCAACTCGAGCTTCCAGACACTCCACGTCGCAAAGGGAGTTACCATCGACAAAACAAACCTTCCAAACCCCATTTTCATCCATCCAATCGAGAGAACTATACTTGCAAAGAGGGCTACCCGAAACAGCTTCCACACTTAACCAAAATCTCAGGTCTTTCCAGCAAGTTGAATTGGGTTCTTGTCTCAACAATTTCCACTTGTAGATTGATCCGTTTGGGATCATATCAGTCTTGCATCGCGGGAGATGGTGAGCAAAGAGAAGTTTGTTGTTTTCTTTTCTGGCAACACAGATCGAGTGCCTAGTGACGACATTGTTAGAAGCCTTGGCATACCGACTACTCAGGATCTGGGGCGTTACTTGAGGGTGTCATTTCTCAATGGCCGTGTTACTAAAGAGACATACAAGTATATATTGGATCGACTAGACAAAAAACTAGCGGGATGGAGAGCGGACTTGCAGTCTTTTGCGGGGCGTGTGACGTTGGCAACCTCGGTTCTCAACACTCTCCCTGTGTATGCCATGCAAACAACACTACTGTCCAATTGATATGTGACGTGATTGACAAAAGAATTCGGTGGTTCATTTGGGGCTCCACTAGGGAGAGGAGAAAAGCACATTTGGTTCATTGGGAAGCAATATGCAGTCCTAAAGAGGAGGGAGGTTTGGGCCTAACAAAAAGCTCATGAATTAAATATTGCTTTTCTGGCTAAACTTGCTTGGCTGTTTATGAAAAAACAGGATGAGTTGTGGGTGAAGGTTCTATAGGCAAAGTATTTCAAGACTGTTGGAGGAATCCTGACTAGCAAGCTTACGCGTCGGTGCTCCACTCTCTAGCGAGAGATCAGGAAAGGTGGTCAGTGATAGTAGCGGGCAGTAGTATGTGTGTCAAGAACAGTAAGACTACGGTGTTCTGAACTGATCATTGGATCGATCAGGATACCATCCTCATGGATCACGTCAAAGAAGACGCACCGCCGATGGACCCTGCCGCTCCAGTCGTGGCCTTCATCGGGGTGCAAGGTGAGTGGAATGAATCTCTACTGGAAATGTACTTATCTAGTGAGGTTGTCCCGCAGATTATGGCCAGCTAGCCCCCAAGCGAGGATGCAGGAGAAGATGATGCGTATTGGGGAGCCGAACCCAACGGGAAGTTCAAAGTCAAGTTAGTGTACGCTATTGCATGTGGGCAGAGGGATTCTTGGTCGGAGCTTTTTTTTTTATATCCAAGATAAGCCCCAAGGGCATGGCCTGACACCAAATATAAAAGACATACAATAATAAAGAACGGTAGTCCGTATGCAACCGAACTCCCGATAAAAGAGCCTTTGAAAGCTCTCAGAAGCAAAAAGACACGATACTGACTCAGATAGAGAGAAAGAGGATAATACTTCCCCCACAAATACCCCAATTTTGAGCTGGCGCGGACGTCACACTTCCTATGGCTGGCTCTGCGGGAGAGACTAATGACAAATGCAGAGCGGAATAGGCGGCACTTCTCAAACAACGACTGTACTTTGTGCTCTTTTGCAGCCGAGACAATCCTGCATGTGTTGCAGGACTGCCCCTTTCCCATGTTAATATGGATGCGTCTCATCAAGCTTTCTGATCACCAGAATTTTTTTGGTTTTCCCCTTTAGGAATGGCTCTTGAAATACTTGCACCACCCGGATTACAGTCCAAGCTTTGGCCTCACATGCTGGTCTCTTTGGCAGACAAGGAACGGCATGGTCTTTAGTAACGAGGTCACCACCACCAAGTCCTTCGTACAACGTCTCCAGACCTGAATTAATGTAGTGCAGACGACTATGGAGAAGGATATGCTCGTTCTTAAGCCTGTCCTGCTCTTCGAAACCGCCGCCTCCCGAGTGGGTCACTGTCAAGTCAGACGGTTCCGTTCTTCTTGACATAGGTCAGGCTGGAGCTGGCGGCCTGATACGAGATCACACAGGACGTTGCATTGCAGCGTACGTTTGTAACCTGGGTTTTTGTTCCATAACCTAGGCAAAGTTGAGAGGTGTTGTTGAAGGATTACAAGTGGCTTGGAACCTCGTATATCGTCGAAACCGAGGAGAATTGGACTAGCGGTGCACAGTGCAGATGCTGACAAGCAAGGACAATGCCACGCACTGCCACTCGGCCATTGTGGCTTGATTTCAGTCTCTTGCAGGCCAAGGAGGGGAAGTAAGGGTCTCTCATGTGTATCGAGAGGCTAATAAGTGTGTTGATTATCTTGCCGATTACGGCCACACCCAGTCTGTGGGGGTGCATAGTATTTTGATTTTCGATCCTCGATTGTGCCAGCTTGTTTTGTATGATTGTCAGGGGCTCTCCAAACCATGCATGGTGTTAAATGAAATCTAAGATGCGACACATCTTTTTACACAACAAAAAAATGAGAGTTGGACCCCTCATACGGTCTCAAGGGACAACGTGTTTTCAGAGGTGAATGATTAGTTTTTCTAAACTGCTATTTGCCTCCCGAAAAATCACTATTTGCCGCCACTGTTTAAATCAAAACAACAATTTTGCCCTTACCTTTTGAACCAAGATTTTTCGAAAATTGGAAACAACAGATTTGCCGGGAATTACTTCTTCCAACCTGCCACCAACCACCTAGCGCAAGCAATCAAGCCACCACTGTCATCGCTTCCTCCCCTCTGAACTAGATCAATAGCCATTTCTGTTTTTCATCGAACTCCATAAATCAACGTCAATCATGCCTCGAAATGCGGTCCGACGCCAGCAATTGGAACTCGAAAGTTGAAGCTCGGTCTGAAGCCGGCGAATGGACGGTCAGGCAGGTTACGAAGAAGGAAAACGGACGGCGACTGGTCGGATACCAATGTTCGGATGGGGTCCGACGCCATCATTTGGAAGGGGACCAATGCAGACATTCGGACGGGGACCGACGCAGACGTTCGGATAGGGTCCAATTCCCAATTTCAGACGATTGCTGCCGGCGATGTTTTTTTCTACAAAAAATCAATTATACATTATTTATAAGTTAATTAAATGGCTAAATTACACGTTTGGTCACTCGAATTATACAAATCTTTCACGTTTGCCACCCGAATTACTTTTCTTTCTTATTCGCCACTAACTTTACGAATCATTTCACCGTTAGTCACCGACCGTTATACTCCGTTAAATTTGTCCTATGTTGCAGTCAACTATAAAGTTTGACCGTTAACTTGATGACGTGGAAATTAGAAATAAAAATAAAAAACTAATTTATTTATCCACCTCATCATTCCACATCATCATTCGCCATAAACCCTACTAAAAAGACATTTTTAACCCCTTGCCCCAACAACGAAAACACACCCATCCCCATCGTACTACCCTCCCCTCCCCCAACTTCACCGCCGCAAATCATCGTCCTCAATCACCCACCGCCAACCAATCCATCATGCCCCAACGTCCAACGACCAACCTTAGGAGGAAGAAGGAATTGAGCCGCCCACCTAAACCGTCCTCCGCCGCACGCCTACACCCTCTGCTTCTGCCGGGTTCTGATCCGTCCATCGCCACAATCTATGCTGCGGTCGAGCTTCAGGAGGAATAAGAAGGATGTCCGTCGCCGCCGAGGAAGGGAAGGAGGAAGAAGGTCAGAATCCTCCATAACTAAAATTTACTATTTGTTCTGGGTTCTGCTCGTCGGGCGGATTGAAATCCCCTCTCTGACGGTGTTTGAACAGGTTCAAAATCCCTCCCCGTCTTGGTGACTTCCCTCATCGGCTCTTCGCAGCTGGCATTCACCGGCGTCTTCGCTTTCCTTATAGTGAAGCAACTGTTCAACCACTACACTGTGAACGCCGTCGTCTTGATGACGCTGGGCTCGGTGGTTCTTGTATTGCACATGGATTGTGATATCCCGAAGGGAGAATCAAATGGTAAATACGTGTTGGCCTTCTTTATGACCAATTAACCATTGCTGCCTCTGCCACGCATGCTCTGTTCATGACTCTGCTTCAGTATACTTAGGGGAAGGCTCGTGTGCCCGTCCAAAATGTCCTCAAAACAGTAATTCCTCAGCCTCAAGCTCTCAATCTCCTCCACCGGCCACTGCAGCAAATCCGCTCCCGTCCTGCTCCAGCAAATCGCCACTAAATTAATTTTTGTAATTTATTTAATTTTTATAAAATAATTAATATGATACTATAGACAAAGTAGGAAAATTTCCCACTGTACACATGTTTTTTAAAAAAAATTCTCAAAATACACACGTTATGAAAATATTTTCCAATCTACGCATGTTTGGGCCTTCACCGCGTCTGAGCAAGGCGGTGATTGGATCGCCGCATTAAAGAAAAGCGATGATTACATCACCGCATGAGAGAATCACGGTGATTGCATCACCGCTCTAGAGAAAGGCGGTGAATGCCTAACCTGCGTCAAAACTTTAAAAAAACGTAACTTTGTGCTCGGTTATCCGATCGTGGTAAATTTTTTTATGATTCCGCATAATTTTTCGAGATCTTGCAAGCCGCAAAATTTTTTGGTCCCGCCTTCGTCCCGAAAAAACGTCGTTTGCTACCCCGAACGAGCCTTTTTTCGATTTCGTCAAACTTTGAACGACCATAACTTTGATGCTTAGAATTGACCTAGGTGAACTAGAATGGCCTGATTAGGGGTGTATGGAATTTTGTGCTATATGTTGAACCCTAGACTGCTGTATGATATTATTGACTTGCCCTAATCGATATGGACCTTGTTTATGTTGATGGTTGCATACATGTTGCCATTTGTGGCTTAACCGTTGATATGACTTCATGGTTGTTCGATCAGGTGTTTTGACATGATGTGATATTGTGGTTGTTTTTGATTCACAAGTGGGGGAAACAAACTTCCCAGGGTGATATTATGATGTTTAAGGAGGATGACTTGCACGAGGGTTTATCCCGAGGAAGTGCAATTATACGACTCCTGATTTACCTATGTTGAGCCAATTATGGCCAGGTCAAGTACATGTGCAAGTAATGAATTATGATTAAGCAAGATGAGATATGAATCATGTATAAGGATACCAAATATGAGTGTTGTGGTCTCACGGTCAACTACATAGTAATTAGGGCTCCCTATGCTATTACTCTATTATGATATGTATGATAGTCACACCTCTCATGTGGTGGTGAATGAAGAATTCTTACGAGATATGACCACACCCAGAGCGGTGTCGGGGTATGAATACACCCATAGTGGTGTGGGGTATGTATGACCACATCCGACGGGATGTTGGGGTATGTATGACTACAAGTAGAACATGATAAGATGCATATGCATAAGTCAATGTTGTTGAGTCTTTTACCTATTGGGATGTTGGATGCCTGAGGTCTGATCCTAGTGCTTTGGCTTGTTTGCTAGATGTATGGTAGAGGTATGCTCTGTTATGAACTCACGATGCTATGATTATCTCACTCAGCTATGAGCTGACCCCCTTTATCCTTTTTCTCTGCGTATGCCATGTGTAAGCAGATCATCATCATCAGCAGTAGATAGGTGTATAGGTGGGAGTTGAGCAAGAGTTGAAGGCATGATGAGGTATGGTCTTCAACTATTCTGTGCTTGGACTACTACTCGGGATTTGGCCAGTGATCCACACCTTTTTGTAAAAATGCTTTCAGAACATTTTTCATGTGCATACTAGCTTCTGATGTAGTGGGAGATATCCATAGGTTTGGAAAGTTGATGATATGTGTATATTTGTGTGGTTGTGTAAGTTGTGACGATTATGGTATGTATAAGTATGATATGCAGTTGTGGAGTATGAAAACTGTGACTATGGATATGAAAGCCAATGTATATGGTTATGGGTATATGTGTATGTCTATGGATGCAGGGATTCAGATAAATTATTTTGCAGGATTTAGTTACAAAACTGTTAGCACATTACGCGAGCAATTCATGTAGAAATTTTGTTTGGGTAAATGTTGTAATTAATGTAACACCCGAGATTATTTCCGATGCAATTGTATGAACAATATGATCAGGCAAAACGTACAGGGTAGGGTGTTACACACAACGTCGCCAGAGCCCGCGTGGCTTCAACCTGGCGAAGTAGCCGAAGGTGTAGCTAGGTCGTGCAGCTCGGCCTCCCTGCGCACTGAACCAGCAGCCCGGCCGGGGCACTGATGAACATAGTTGGGAGGAGGGGAGGAATCAGGGACACCATGCCCATAATCACTCTCAGGAAATGGAGCGGTCTTGTTCTCATGATCCTCTCTTCGATGGGGTCACTGAAAAATTTCCTGGGGAACATAAAGGCGTCAACCTTGCACCTGCTGAAATCCGACGTCGCCGACTGATCTTGGACGACTCGGACGAGGATACCCCGCCAAACCTTGCACGTAGTACTCCTGATGTGGCTCAAGGTGGGGAGAAGAAAGGCCGTCGTCTGGTTAATCTGGGAGAGCTGAAATTGGCAGCGGAGACCCCTAAGGCACGGGCTGCTCCCCTCCCAGCCCGGAGGAAATCGACTGATGCTTCGAACCGAGCCGAGAAACTGGAGACCGGTCGGATTCCTGGCTAATCAATCTGGAAAGAAACCTGGCAACCGCAAGGGTAAAAGTGCTAAGAGTGAGCAGGGAAAGGAGGAGGTTATTTCGGTTTGTCCAGTGGCAGAGAAGGGCAAAATGGTGGTGGATGACTCTGATGCTCATGGGGTTTCGGATGGTTCTCAGTCTGATGAAGATGAGCTCCGTTTCGCTATCAAAACTAGGAACCCGTCTAGTGCCCAGGAACGACATGTTCAAACATGACAGGTGAAACATGTGGTGGCTACTTTTGAGGCGAATCTTGTCATCAATGAGAATAAGGACCATTTGGAACCTTCGGAAGGGGAAATGGTTTTAAAGCTGAACGAATATGGTTCTAATCTTGATGATGGGACTCATAAGAGGTCTCTGCAAGAGGTAGAAGGGGGGTTTCAGGGTAGTCCCACCCCGAAGAGGCAATTTGTGGAGGAGCACACGGAAAATGAAGTGGTGGAGGAAGCCAGCCAA